GGTGGAGCACGCTGGGACCCGGCCCCCCGGGACGAGCCGCTCAGTTCAGATCCAGGCTCCTCTAATTATCAGCTGTGGGGGAATTAGGTAGCCTCGCTGAAGACCCTCTCCCCCGCGGTGGGCAGGCGCCTGAGGCCGGCCGCGGAGCGAGGAGCCGCCGGCCAGAGCCCGGGACCGCACTGCGGCGGATGCAGAGTTCCTGAAGCAGCTGCTGGAGCTCCGGAAAATCCTCTTTCCCCGACTGGCGACCTCGGAGACGGGCTGGCTGTGCCTGCACTCGCTGGCGCTGGTCTCCCGCACGTTCCTGTCCATCTACGTGGCGCGCCTGGACGGGAACATCGTCAAGAGCATCGTGGAGAAGCAGCCGCGAGCCTTCGTGCTCAAGCTGGTCCAGTGGCTGCTGGTGGCCGTGCCCGCCACCTTCGTCAACAGCGCCATCCGCTACCTGGAGTGCAAGCTGGCCCTGGCCTTCAGGACCCGCCTGGTGACCCACGCCTACGAGACCTACTTCACCAACCAGACCTACTACAAGGTGGCCACCATGGACAGCAGGCTGGCCAACCCCGAGCAGTCCCTGACCGAGGACATCGCCCTGTTCTCCCAGTCCGTGGCCCACCTGTACTCCAACCTCACCAAGCCCATCCTGGACGTCATCCTGACCTCATACACGCTCATGCAGACGGCCCTGTCCCGGGGGGCCAGCCCGGTGGGCCCCACGCTGCTGGCGGGGCTGGTGGTGTGCAGCACCGCCAAGGTGCTCCGGGGCTGCTCCCCGCGCTTCGGGAAGCTGGTGGCCGAGGAGGCCCAGCGGAAGGGCCACCTGCGACACCTGCACTCCCGAGTCACAGCCCACGCGGAGGAGATCGCCTTCTACAGAGGACACAAGGTGGGGGCCGGCCGCGAGGGAAGCCCGCGCCGGGTGGGGTGCGCGGGGCGGGTGGGCCGCAGCCGACGCGGCTGCAACGCGGACCGTCCGCTGGCTGCCTGCGGGTGCGGGTCCAGCCCTGTGGGACGGGAGCCCCGGGTGGCGTCTGAGCCGTGCACGCGCCCGTGGGTGCGCCGCGGGGCTGGGCGCGAGGGGCCGGCCGCGAGGGAAGCGGGGCTTGAAGCGTGGGGCCGCCCCGGTGGGGGCTAGTGGAGGGCCGGCTCCTCCGTACCAAGGACCCGCTGGTGGGGCCTGTGTGCGGTTTCGCGCCCGCGAGTGTCGGGCCCCCACAGGGCGCCCTCTGTGCCCGGCTCCTCGCTGGGAAAGCCCAGCGCCGGCCTGGGAGCCCACACGTCGCCACCATCGCGTGGGCGCCGTTACCCTGACGGAGCCCCGCGAAAGGGGAAACGCCGAGGGGAGAGCGCGGTGTTGGGGGAGAGAGCTGGCCGAGGCTCCGGGGGTGGCACGGGGCAGAGCCCGGGAATCTCGGGCTGGGGCTCTCTTGGAGGGGGGAGACTGCGGCTAGACCGCTTGGGCCTGCTGTCCCGCGTGGGCACCGGCTGTATGTGGACTCTGGGGCTCCTACGGCAGGGTCTGGCGCAGGGGCCGGCGGAGCCTGGGCCCTGCGAAGGGCGCGGACTTCTGCCCTGGCGTCTGGCGGGCGGGAGCAGCTGCAGGGTCTCTCGCGGCGGAGGCCCCGCCGCCTGGAGGACGGTGTGGTGACCCGAAGGGGGACTTAAGGGTCAGTGGACGTGTGCAGTTAACCCAACGGGCTTGTGCAGCGCCGCGGGGCTGTGTCTGGCTGCGCCTTCGCTCGCCGTGAAACCCGCGCTAGCGCGGAAGCTGGACCAGAGCCTGGCGCAGGGGGCCGTGGCTGGGACCCCGAGTCTAGGGCGCAGAGGCGGGCGCGCGCCCGGCGAGG